GGTCGTCTTGGGCTGGGATGTTTGCAGGTGTGAGGGGAGGGCCTTTCCCTTCTCCCACAGATTCTTGAGTTCTCGGCAGTATTCGTTTTTCCAGGATGAGCACAAGTAATCATGGGTTGTACTGGGGCCGGGGAACGGGCAGGGAGAGCCATTATGAGAAGATTCAGCATGTGGCCGATTAGAGATGCTCTCTCTTACCCTGTGCCTGGGAACTTGGCAGTCCTAGGCTTGGTGGGCTTTTATAATATAACAGAGTCACACAAGTGGCCTTGAGATCTCTTGCATAAACGTATAGACAATAGACAGAGTCAAATGAAGACAAAGCCAGGAGAGCTTGTATCTTGCCTACAGTCCACTCTCTGTGGCACAGAGGCTTGCGAGCGTCTTTCCCACCATATCTGTGCAGGTGGCCCTGAGCTGGGTGCATGGAGAGAGGGTCCCAAGTTGCTTGCCACAGGTTGACCACTTCATCCCCAAGTACGGAACCAAGCCTCTAGGTGCACGTGGTAGGGATGGAGCAGGTGAGGTACACAGAAATGGAAGAAATAGACATGTGGGCCTCTGCCCTCCAGATAAATGCGGTAAGCCAAATGTAGACCTAACCCTTGATGTCAGGCCAGGGGAGGGACCCAGATGGCGGTTGCCCATGTAGTTCTTCCAAGTGACAAGCTGCTTGCAGCACAGGGGCCACCTGCTTGAGAAAGGCATAAGCTGTGGGTGCAGACAGGGTCTGGAGACCAGTGTAGTGGGTGCTCAAGCTGTCCCCACTCCCACAGCAGTGTACACTTGCCTGAGCTCAGTGAGGAAGCAGTTGTTCCTGCAAGTATGGGCTGGCTGGGCCCTGACCTTAGAGCGGGCTTCCTAAAACTTGATCTCCATTGTCCAAATAGAGATGTTCTAGCTATGTGCCCTGTGCCCATTAGCCCTGCAAAAAAGGATACTGCCCTCCAAATTACCTGAGTGTGACCTGGGCAGCTGGTGATGGTGCCTGTCTTTGTCCACACAAACAGCCTGTCCCCTTCCCTGTCCCCATGTAGAGCGCCAGTCTTCAACTTCCCAGAAACAAACCCAACTAACAGCTAACTTGGCACCTTACCTTTCTGCATACAGTTTGTTTTCCTTTTAAAACCATGTGTGTTAGCTGCTTTGTCTTATTTCCCATAGTATGGAATTCCTACCTTTCCCAACCTGTCAAGTACAAAGTCTTCATATGGAAACTTTGTGTACTACTGAATGAGACCAGGGGTTTTGGAATATCTCTCTCTCCCACTGGGTTTTGGTGAAGTATCACAAAGAAAGTTTCACAGCTCCTCTAGAGATAGCACCCAGTGCAGTCTTATGCTATCGGGCAGGTAGATCTCTTTGTGTGCCTGCATCTGGGGACAACTGTGGAAGAGTGCCTGCTCATTCCTTCCTCTCCTGGGACTTCAGGTGTGAGGGCAGCCTACCCAGTTAGGTACTACACCAGGTGCATTGGCAGGTGAAGGTAAGCAAGATCTGGCTTGAGCCCAGGGTTAGCAACCTTCCCTTCTTTCCCTCCCTGGCCCTCAGGTCTTTTCTGCTGCTTTTGGCTGGTGATCAGTTAAGACTGTCTCCCATTTCTAGGGTATAAGCAAGGAAATTCAGAACATGAAAGCTGGGCACAGTAAAGCATGCCTCTGATCTTAGTACTGGGCAGGCTGAGACAGGAGGCTCCTGGTGTGAACCAGCCTGGGCTACACAGAGACCAGCCTAAGCTGAATAATGGGACCCTGTCTTTCTCATACACACTCATATAAATAGTGGTAACTATGACAACAGCAATAATAGTGTCAAAGCAAGAACACAGTAGTAGACCATGAGGTCCTATGTTGGTCCCCAACACTAGAGGTGCAGGACAAGGAAGAACAACAACATTGGGTTATAAAAGAATAGGGTTGAAGACATGGCTCAGCAGTTAAAAGCACATACTATAGAGAATCTGAGTTCAGTTCCCAGCGCCCACATTGGGCAGCTCACAATGACCTGTAACCACAGCTCCAGAGAAACTGATGAACTGATGCCCTCTCTGGCCTCCATGAGCACTGTACTTACATGAACACACACACACACACACACACACACACGATAAAAATAGGTTACTAAAACAACCTACTGCTGTCAGAGACTAATGCTACTTATCCCCACTCCATAACCCTGGACAACTCCCAGACATGGCACATCACAGGTAAAAACAAAGAACTGGCTGGAGCCATGGCAGTACCTCACCTCTTTTCTGTTCCTAAGGTGGAGTGACCCATAGGCACCAACAGCAGGACTTCTGCCCACCACCCAGATCCTAACCTGCCACCCTGGTGTCAGAATGCCTGAATCTCTTTGGGCTCATGAGGGGCTGGGTGTTCTACCCTGCCAGCCTGGCTGCAGTTTTCACATGGAGCAGCATTTGGCCTTGGTCTTTATGGGAGGTTGTTCTAGGTAGATTCCTTTCTCTTCATACCCATTCTTTCTCTCTGCCTCCCTTATCATTCGCTCTTCAATCTCTTCAACCTCTAAGCCTGCAGTTTAATCAGTGTCCAACAAGATGCTAAAGCAATGGCAAAATAGGCAAAAGCTCCCTAGGGATCTGCTAGATGGGCCACTATTGTGACACATAACGAATGTTAAGGCCTCCAAGGGCCTGGTGACATGTTCAAAGCCACAAGGCAGAGACACACCAAGACTTCCTGCCCTGCTCCCGTCCCTCTGTCAGCCGGGGAGAGAGCTGTTCCTCCCTCTTTCCTGGTCTCTGCAGGGAGTGTACATGTTGAGTCTGGGTCTGGGTGTACCTATGTGGTAACAGGAGTGGTCTGCCTGCTTCCCAGAGCTGGTTCATAGCATCCACCCTCCTGCCTTCCATCACGTAAGCCTAGCTGAGGAGCGGCACCCAGCTCCTCAGAGCATGTCCTGAGGCCTGAGAGACTCAGTTCCAATGAGCAGACTCCTTTGTGTGTCTACATTAGAACACAGGCACAAACTCAAAATGTTAGACTCAAAAATGCCACATTGCATCACCCTGTTCACAGATGAGGAAATGGAAGCCAAGCCTTGTTGAGGCACCTGGGCCAACTCCTCCACCTTCTGCCCACATAGCTGAGGCTTCTAAGACGGAAGAAGCTGGCTCCCCTATTGAAGAAACAGCTCAGAGAAGTGGCTTGCCCCAGGCCTGCAGCTCAGCACTGTGGAGGTGGATGGGGCCCAGCCTCGTTTTTGTCTTGCTTTGCTGCCATTGCAGGGATGTGTTCAGCTGTTTGCAGATTTTTATGATGTGAATTAAACCCAAAGCTTCAAACATGGTAGGCAAGAATTCAACTTCTGAATTATACCTCTATTTATTTATTTACTTATTTACTTATTTATTTATTGGTAGGGTCTCTCTACATAGCTCTGGTTGTCCTGGAGCTCTTTGTGTAGACCAGGCTGGCTTCTAAATCACAGAGATCTGCCTGCCTCTGCCTCCCAAGTGCTGGGGTTAAAAAGGCATGTGTCAGCCATCAGCCTTTTTAACAATAATTCTAAGAAAAAAAAAAAAAAACCTGAAAGGTCTAATTAGGCCTATAACCCTTTAAAACTAGCACCACAGTGAACAGTGTGAACCGCAGCCCTCCTGCAGAAGAGCCTGTGCTCCACCCCCACACTGCAGAAAGAAAGCTCACAGACTCTCAGTTTCTTCTAGGTGCACTGAGTCGTACAAGGCAAAAAGGGCCCACGTGCATCCTAGCAGCTGCCGTGGATGGCATTTTTCACAGGAGAAATGGTTGCCTTTCTGAGTTGGGGACTAGGCATGGCACATGTCCTCTATGAGTCAGACATTGTGATTTATAGATGTCAAGACCACGAAAGCAGCACATACTTCCAGGAGTCCATCAAGGTAGAAGGCCCGCCCGCAGTCATGAGATGCAGGCATCTGTCATGGCACTGTACACAGCCATTGAGCATCCTTGCTCTCGCCACGAGCGTGTAATCACACCTGCTTTGTCACTGGGACTCATATCATGGTGTAAGAACTCCCTGAAATATTCAGTTTGGCAGTTTGAAGTGTCTGAGGTTAAAATGGCAGCATAGAGAGACAGTGCCTAGTAATTAGTGACCTGTTCTGATAAAGCTTGTGTGCCTGCCCACGGCAGGGTGAGGATGGGGCACAGAGCACATTCTCAGAGCCAGGGTCACCAGCTTGCTGAGGGAGGTGCTGCAGACATCTGCTCAGCACATGTAGGGGCCACACCTTTTTGGCAACCAATTTCAACCTCCAAAGCAGGAGCCGGCAATGTGAATTCTTTGTTCTCTCCCTTTTCAGGTTGGGGTTTTTGGGTTATTTTTGTTGCTTCTTAAGAATTACTTTTACTGAGCCTTTTTATTGCCTATTTAAAGTTCATGCTTACTCTAGATTGTAACATTAGAGTATAGCCAACTATGGACACAGCACTGTCATTTTCTTTTTTTCTAGAAATAGTGGGCTAATAAGCAAGCCTACCAGGTGGGGCACCTCTCAGTCCCAGAGTAGGCAAAGAGGCAGGTTGCCCTGACTAAAGGCCATCATCTCATTTGTCTAGGCAGGGAGCCAGCCTTTTATTAATGTGGCTTCTAAGGGTTGAAAGGCCACCTTCATATCCTATCTGATAGCAACATAAGTGTTTTTAGTTGCTCAGGCCAAGGCATGGCCCCTTCTCCAATACCCATGAGGTTTATTGGGGAGCCCTGCCATACCCTGGACATCCTGCTCCCCAGCCCTCAGTGAACTACTTTTCTCAACTGCTAAAAGCTTAGACAGCTGCTGGGAGGCAGGAGAAAGGATGAGGCTGTGGTGTTCAGGGCTACCAAGTGGTATTTTTTCCTCAAAGGAGAGAAAGAAAACTAAAGCCTTCTGTTTTGTTTTGTTTTGTTTTGTTTTTGTTTTTGTTTTGCTGTTGTTGGTTTTTGTTTTGTTTTTGTCATCAAAACCTCATTTTTTAGCTGTGTTTCCATTATTGGTAGCATGCCCGCTTTCTGGAGGCAGGGTACCCCCAGACCAAGGGACCACATGCCTGTGGCTCCTCCTCCCTCTCAGAAAGCCACCTCACTGAGCAGAAGAGGCCCAGGGCTGGACTGCCCTCCTGAGAACCCTGCACCCTGCTCTAGGCATGCTGCCGCTCAACTTCCCCTCGGGCCCTGAAGCCTCTCTCCTGAGGTGGCCTTTACTGAGGGCAAGCCGATTCTCCTGTCATGGTGTTGCAGGACTCCTGCCTTTTTGAAATTAGGAGGTGCTCTGCAGCCCTGGCCCGAAAAGGCAAACACACACAAGCAAAAAGTTATCCATATCAAGAACATGTACTTTCTTGCCACCAGCCCCTGCTGGCCAGCCTGCTTCTTCTAATTTACCACCTCATTGCTTTCCTCACCTGCCGCTCCACATAGAGCTGCCTGTGTTGCCTGTGTGTGCCCTGTAGTTGTTTTGGTCTGTGTACATTTTGGTTTTGTTTTGGGGTTACTTTTGATGATTTACTTTGTTCTGGTGTTCTGTCTTCTTTTGCCTGGCTGTGTGGGGGCTGCCTGACCCCGCTGCTTGCCACCTCTGCCTTCTTATTTCCCTGTTGTGCAGCCCTCTGTCATGGACGACATTGAGGTGTGGCTCAGGACAGACCTGGTGAGACTTGACTTCTACATTTTGTGTGGGGGTTGTGGCAAGGCAGATGTTCCAAGGACAGGCCTTGAGGCTTGTGGCAGGGGCTCCACCTCCACCATGGTGGGTTGGAGGAGGGAGGGGGGCAGCTCAGCCAAGCTCATCTTCCTTCCCAACATGTGGACTCTGGTGGTGCTGGCTCTGGCACAGCCTCTTAGCCACACAGCCCTGTACAGATGTCTCACATCTGTGGAAACTAGAGAGCCCAGCTTTCACCACTCCTGACACACACTGATCACGTCCCAGTTTCTCTGAAATGCCAAAGGTGTGTGTTTTGAGTGGTTTTTCTGCTTGTTTGTTTCTGTTTCATTTTTTGTTTTGTTTTGTTTTGTTTTGAGGGAGGCAGATATTTTTGTGTTTTGGTTTTTGTTTCTTTTCTCTTTTTTTTTTTTTTTTTGCCCCCCTGTGTTGGGGATTGAATTCACGGCCTTGTGCATGTTGTTAGCGGGCAAGTGCTGCATCCCGACATCTTCATTTCTTTTTTTTTACTTTTTTTTCCCCTCACAAATGAGTTAGGTGCTTGTTTTTAAATTCACCATCATCCCCATTCCCACTGTCTTCTAGTATTTGTTTAAAAGAACTCCTGCCCCAAAAGAATGTCCGTCTTCTAGGATGGACCAAAGACTGAGAAGATGGTGTGTCTGAAGATGGCCTCGGTCAATCCCCTCTCCTTACAGAACACTTCATTCACAGCCGCTGGGCGCAGGAGGGATTCAGTGGTGGCAGGAGGTTTTCTGTGGCACCTCCCCCATGAAAGAGGACAGCAGGGGCTAACATGGCCTCTTCCCCAGGATGCCAGGCCTTCTAAAGATACAGCCCCAGGAGGCAGCCACCTCGGGGGCAGGGAAGGTTGAAAGATCAGCCCTGTGATTTTTCCAGAAAAAATATCTCCCTCACAGAGGCAGGGACAGAAAGTCTCAGGCCCTCTCTCAGACTAGGCATGGGGTCACACACCTGTTATCCCAATGTTTGGGACGTGGAGGCAGGAGGGTCAGAAGTTCAAGACCAGCTTTAGCTACGTGGTGAGTTCAAGGCCAGCTTGGCCACATGAGGTCCTAAAGAGACAAGATCCAACTCACAAGGCAGCAATAGGTTCAGAGAAGCCCGGGTAGCTCAGCCCTGCTGGTGACTTCACTCCAGCATGGTCCTTTCCCAGCGAGGCCTCTGTATAAGCTCCTGGCTAATCTAGTGTGACCCACTTCAGTGTATATAGAGACACACAGCACCTCCATGGCCCCTTTGGGCAGCAAGAATGGTAGCTTAGGTCTGGGGAAAGGCAGTTATAGCTCCTAGGAGGCTGTGGGGCTTGTTTCTAGGTGACAGCTTCCACTGCCAAAGGCCCTCCTGGAGATCAGGCCAAGGCCATCCAGGCCCCAAGCAGCTTTAGCTGTTTGTATGGGTGGCATCTTTCCAGAGTCCCTACGCTGGCAGCACTGATGTGGCTCAGCCTCACATGACAGTGGCATCTTTCCTCAGAGCCTGGTTTTGATGAGTGGGGTTCTCCCCTCTGGCCCAGGTAGGGACCAGCCTGAACCAATTTTGGATTTTCTTTCTTGTTCTTCTAGGAGATCAAAACCTAGAATCTTTGCAGTTTTGCTTTTTCAAAAACATTTTTTTTTTTTTAGCACCCTCTCTGCTTCTCTTATACGATGAAGAGATTCTGGAAACAGGAAAAGTAGAACTTCACTTGGGAAGCCATGGGTGGACAGAGGTGGCCGGGTGGGCAAGGCAGGGATGAGTCCTAATGTCATTCTCTGCTCCGTCCACAGAAGGGTGATGACCTGGAAGAGGGTGTCACAAGTGAAGGTAGGCCTGGCCAGTGACCCCGCAGCCTTTCTGTTCTCTCTTTCTCTCGCTCCTGACTCTTAGGGCTGCACAGGGACTGGCCCTATACCCTGAAGCCTCTGCTGCTAGATCCATGTGGTGCTGGGCCTGAGCCCTAGCCTTCATGGGGCCTCACTCTGATGGAGATGGTGCCATTCCTCTCATTGTCCTTTGGGGCATGTAGGGAAGAGCATGTAAAGGTCACTAAGAGGGTGAATGGTGGGCAGCACAGAGTACTGTCCTAGGTTCTGCCTAGGTACTAAGTCCCCACAGACACAGATCACACGGTGCAGAGTGTGCAGGGCCTCTTGGGCACCTGGGCCTCAGCTGATGGTCAGGTGGGAGCATGGGTCTAGCTTTCCAACAAGGCCCCCTCCTCTCTTCCCAGCTGACATTGCCTCTTCTCCATCTTGCCTTCCACACCTCATCCAGTGCTGCCCCTCCCCTGGATTCCTCCAGACCCTGTGGCAAAGACCAGTCCAAGGACCTGCCCTCTGTGCTAAGTGGCTGCCTTCTGCAGCCTCACTTCAGCCTCTTCCTTGGGTCAGCGAGGGTGGGCCTGTGGTGTAAGCAGGTGCTGGTCAGCCTGCCCTATGCTGATGGAGTGGGGTGGAGTGAGTAGAACTCTGAGCTCTTGGAAGGGCAGGTGCTCTGCACTCAGTGTTTTTTCCAGAGCTTTTTATCTGAAGAGAAGTGGCTGTCAGACCCTTTCGCCATCATGAGGCCCACAGCAGTCTTCCCCACTCATGTGCCCCTA